GTTTGGGTCATAAGTGAGAAATCAAAATATTGTTTTGCATGAACATCAGTTTATCAATGCATGGAGATACTTATAATGCATGGCAATATCAAAAATATAGTGCATTAAAAGTAATAAATAGATAAATGGTGTAATTTGAAAGGGAGTCCAACTCTAGCCTCGTTTATCGAGAATTCTAAATCGTGCGACACATTTCCCTAAGTTCCGACCAGTCAGTTTGGTCGGGGGGTCTGCTACCTAGGCTGAAATCCATAGGTATGCCTTCACACCTTATTTGTATGAGGATCAGGGCGCACGAAGTTCTACTATCAATTAGGTTGGTAGGCCTTTTCAGATGCTACTCGAGGAGTGGGCTTTAAAGGGGTTTGCCGAGCAGATTGAGCTTAATTTGGAAAACTAATTTTATGGTTTTGCCAGACAGACCCTGCTTCAGAACTTGTTATGTGCCGGACAGATCGGGCTTAACAGTTTATAAGGTGCTGGATGGACCGGGATGAATTAACAAAGTTTGAGTTGAGTGATTATACCCTAGAGTGCATGATACGGCCGGATCGGAGTTCCACGGTTGTTAACAACCAAAGAGGTGGAGTCTTCCTCCAAATCAAGCAAAGGTTGGGCACGAGAACCCTATTATAGTCTTATAATATTGTTAATTAACAAATTATTAATTAATCCTCGGATTAAATAATAATGAATTAGTTAACTAGTAGCTTTAGTTTAAGGAAGACCAAAGTGTTAATTAAAGTCGAAAGGATTGACTTTTAAGAACCAAGTCGGGCCTTAACTCAACTAAAGAAGAAACTATGTTATAAGTGTGGGACAGATGGGAACCAATCTATACACAGTTTTATAGGGTGCATGGATGAGGGATGAATAATAAAACAAAGTTATGAAGAAGTCTGAGAATCGATCTACCCTAGAGATTGCATGGATACGGCCGGATCGGAGTCCACGGTTGTTATCTAAAATCCTCCTATAAAAGATAGGTAGTTCTTTCCTCCAAATCAAGGCAAAGGTAGGGACACAGAAACCTCTATTATTAGTCTTAGTAATATTAGATCTAAATATATTAAAACATTAATTATTAATTAATCCTACCGCGCATTAAAACTAATATTTTCACAATATAAATGGGAAAAAAAACATTTAAAAAGAAAAGTATTTTTAAACTAGATATAAAAAAGGTAAAAAAGGCTTGTATCTTTAATTAGTATTAAGGAAAGACCAAAGTAGTTAATTAAAGTCGAAAGGTAAGCTTGACTTTTAAGAACCAACAGTACGACGCCTGTACTCACACCAAACACAGAAGATAGAAGCAAGGTCGGGACTATTATATGAACCTTACAATCTATTCACAAATGTTTGAGAAAAACAGAGCACTGAACGTTGTAGATAATTAGCTCGTGCATCGAATCAAGCAACAAGACGGTGTGTATAATGAAGGGGAGACTGACCCTTCATTAGAGTCAAGGAGCTATTGGCCAAGGACATGACAAATATCCGCAAGATCTCCTCTTTTACATAGGCTATCGCCAATGCCTTTTCCGATACTAGTATAAGGCCTCGACATGACCATGAAGCGCTCGATCAAGCAACAAGAGGTGTGTAAAAATGAAGGGGAGAGTGCCCTTTTATAGGTCAAGGAGCTATTGGGCCAAGGACATGACAATATCGAGATCCTCCTTTTTGGTATCGCCATGCTCTTTTTCGATACTGATTAAGGCCTTCGACATGCCATAAGTCGGCATCAAAAAGGGGATATTAGCGCAGGCTAGGGGCTGGTCAGCACCGATCGAGGCAAATTATTGCCCTACCCCTTCCATTTGTTTTTAGGGTTTTCGGGCTTTCGGAGGTCCTTCGAGACACAAACGACATCCGATCAAGCTAATTTTTGAGCTAATGGAACCATAATGGAATTTCCTAAAACTCAGTTCATGGTCAACAGACTTGCGAGCAAAAGTTTTAGGATAAGATTTAATTTCAGTCACAAACAACCATCAATGACGAAAAAAATTTTCAACAAAGATGGATTCAATCGTTGGAAGATGTCGTGATTCAAAGAGGGATGGGAGATGTAAGGAGAGAGAGAAATTTTATTATTTTTGGTTTATGCGTGATCGAAACGGAGCATTTGGTGTCTTGGGTTAAGTTAATGGAAGGTTGTGTAACGGGACCATTAAAATATTTTTGGAAAAATTATGATTTTATCCTTATTTTTTGTCAAAATTAACTAACATACCTCGTATTTTGAATATTATACTAAAATCTCCCTATGTTTTGCCTCCGTTAAACTCTCGTACCCTTTTATCTAATTTATATACTTTTTTCTCAAAATATGGGCCTCCTAAAACTTTAGCTACTGATTTTTTTAGTTTTTGAACCTCTTTATTTCTAAGCTCAAAGGCTTAATTTGTTAATTAAAACAACGAAATTGCCGAACTTTAAACTCAATTTGAAAGATATCTTAATTTTATGGTCAAGAAAATCTCTTTTGAAACAAGAGAATGCTAATAAAGTTTTAAGGTCTGACTAATTCTTTTGGTTCATGAGATTAGGTTTTTCTTTGAAATCAGCTACTTTGTTTATTTTAGATTATTGTTATAAGCAATTGATTAAAGATTTATTTCAGAAAATTTTTTTTTTCCTTTTTCCTTTTTGTATATCAGAATTAGAGTTTAGTGTTTGATGTTATATTATGATATCATAAATTAAACCGTCTCTCTTCACATAGTTTTTATATAATTAATAAATTGAATAACAAAAATGATAAATTTGATACATTATAACATTTTTTTAAAAAAAAAAAAAGAAGAAGAAGACTGAGTATTAATTATCTAAAAAATTTTGGAAATTTTACATCCTTGGTCTTATATTCAGAGAGCCTAGACAATGGTATGGAAAAAGAAAAATTTTATTAGTGTTAGGACATATTTTGAACGTGGTCTAAAATTTTTTATTTTTCATCTTTCAATTTTCAACTCATTTTTTTTTGGTTTGATTAAGTTCTTCAATTTCCACAAGCCTGTCAAATATTCAGGCTAGTGAAAAATACTACCCGGTCTCACTCATGAAACAGTTTAGGCTTGGACCAAATCCAATTTGATCAAGTCCAACAATCAAAGGGGCAAAAAAAAAAAAAAAAAAAAAAAAAAAAAAAAAAAAGATCAAGTCCAAACATATCCATAAGGGCAAAAAAAAAAAAAATAAAAAAAAAAATAAAAAAAAAAAAAAAATGAGAAGGTAATATCAACTTGGTTCCGTCTTGTTTATGGTAAATATACCATAGTGCTTTTTACAGTTTGAGCTACATTTAATACCATTCAGTCCTCGTTTTAAAGCTTGTTATTTCAAGTTAAACAAGAGACTGTGAATAATTAGTTAATTGCGAATAATTAAAAAAAAAAAAAAAAAAAAAAAAAAAAAAAAAAAAAAAAATGAGAAGGTAATATCAACTTGGTTCCGTCTTGTTTGGTAAATATACCAAGTATCTTTTAAAGTTTAGCTACATTAAACCATTCAGTCCTCGTTTTAAAGGTTGTTATTTCAATTGTTAAACAAGAGACTGAATAATAGTAATGCGAATAATTAAATAGTTACATATTGAGATACTTAATCTCTAAAAAGGTATTTTTTTGGGCGATATAACTAAATAGTTTAATGGGATTAGATCTTATAGATTAATCAATAAATCTTATTTATATTTGGGAAATTATGTCATTGTTAATGGAAGTATCAAATTTTTTATTGAAAGAAACTTCCACTTGATTTTCATTTTCTATTATCACACTACATTTTGTTCATTGTAACCTGTAAAACTATGCCCAATTCAAAATCCAACACAATGAAAACATTCCTGTTGTTTGGATATATAGGAAACTACTTATATGAGGAAAACTAAGGACTTACGTCCAATTATTTATACGGAGTTTATTTGATATGAAATTATAAAAGTTGATCATCATAAGAACATGAATAGAGATATAAATAAATCTGTTGGATTGAATGATTTCTCCTTCAACGGCGGAACTAGAGAATGATCTTAATTTAAATTTGTTTTTGAAAGTTACCTTATAAAATATAAAAAATTTTACTTTTTACCGATAAAATAATGATTTTTTTTATATTGCCTTTTATGAATATGGAAAAAAAAAAAATTCCCCCTCTCTAATTATTTTTTCTATTCCACCACAGAACATGAATATTCAAATTTTAGATAGAATGACTTATTAGTTGAAAGGGACCAAATCATAGGGATACATTCAATGTATTTTTCAAAAGACAAGTAATCGATTCCATCATATCATAGGGCCTAAATAATAATTTGTCTTTTATTTTCTTAAAAGGTTTTTGAATCACAACATATATATCATCATGACTTAGTTTTTAATATTTTAAATTAAGTTAACATTTTCAATTGTTGATATATCTCAATCTCAATTATTAAATTTTAAATCCACTCAAACTTGTATTTATTTTTTTCTTGGCTGATGGTAGTATAGGAGAATTGCTGATTTGGAAATAATAGCAACAATAATTATAATTAAAATTAGAAGAAAATTACATTTTTATCCTCATATTTTGATATAATTAATTATTTTGTTTTTATATTTTAAAAATTACAGTATCACTATAATTTGGATCCATTAAATGAAATTGTCATTCTATCCCATATTTGAGATTTAAATTGTTAAGTGCTAATAAAATTACAGGACAACTCTATACACATATAACTTTAAAGAGAAAAATTACAATTGTGTCCTTCTATTTTGACATAATTAATTAATTTGTCTTTATATTTTAAAAATTATACTATTTATTCTAGTTTGGATCCATTTATGAGTTATGAAAAGATAATTTTGTATAATGGAAAGAAATAAGATAAAATAGTTGACGTAGGGAAACCATTAGCTTAGCGTGGATATGGTATACTGTTGACGTAGGAACAGTGATGTGGCAAGTTGCGTACGATAAAGACAATATTGCCCTAACTTTAGTATTACTTTTTTTTTTCTTAATAAAATATTTAAAGAAAAATCAATTGCCTTCTTTTGACCACAAATCTGCTGTAATAACAGTGAAAACCTTTTCATCGATTTCTTGAAGGAGTCTTCTGTGAATTCAGAGGTAGTGTCTCGATTTGTTGATTTCTTCCTTCTGATTTTGATCCCTGATTTTCTTGTTTTCTTCCAGTTTAACCAACTGAAAATGTAATAAAGCGAGTTTTCTTTTAGATTTTCTTGGAAAGGATTTTCGCTGGAAACAGACAGGAAATGAGGTTCACTGAGCAAGGCAGTTTCCTTTTGAGCTAAGTTATGGGTTTGTTTAAGAGTTGTAAATTCTTTTTTATTTTGAGCTAATCATTCATTTTTCTGGTCTTAGCAGCTTTCAATTTATCATTTTTATTATGCTTTTTCTATTTCCTGAATAGTTGAGCCAGATTTTAATATTACTGGGCTTAATTTTGCTTATTTGGTAATGGGTATCTTTATTGTTACCCTTTCTCTACAGTTGGAGATTGGTTTATGTAATTTGTTTCTAGATTTCTAGATTGTGGTCTGTGGACTTTAGAAAATGCTTTGAATTCCAAGTGAAATTTCTGTTTGATTGCCAATAAAACTTTATAAATAGTGTGAACGGTTAATTTACGTGCCCTTTTACATGGACTTCATTTTAGAGAATGCTTTGACTTAGCAAGTAGATTGATACTGATAGTTCTCCTTGTTCTACACGTTCAGATGTGAAGTAGACTTAATAAGATAAAAGCTGGACAAGTACTATAGTTGGGTAGAAATCTGTAATGATCTGAAAGTTATCAATGGGCTCTCTATTAAGTGTGAATGGTTCCAAGACTGTAGCTGGCGAGGTTTTTGAGTTATTACAGAGTGAAGCTTGCAAGAGACAGAGGGTGTTATCGGCTTCTTGCGAGGGGAATCCAAGATTGATTCCTAGCCTTCCTGATGAGATATCAATTCAGATTCTTGCTAGACTTAATAGAATTTGTTACTTAAAAGTTAGATTAGTGTCTCGTGCTTGGAAATCAGCCATTATGAGTTCTGAACTGTTCAATGTGAGAAAAGAGCTTGGAACAACTGAGGAATGGCTTTATATATTAACAAAGGTCGAAGATGAAAAGTTTTTATGGTATGCCTTTGATCCATTGTCTAGAATATGGCAAAGGTTACCAACAATGCCCGGTGTTGTTTCTGAAGATGAGCCCAGAAAGGGTGTAGCAGCACTTCGAATGTTTGGTTCGAGTACCAAAATTGCTGACACAGTAAGAGGTTGGCTCAGGAAGAAAGGCACACTGGATCCATTACCCTTTCATGGCAGTGCCGTTGGAGCTGTTGATGGCTGCCTCTATGTGTTAGGGGGACTTTCTAAAGCTTCTGCTATGAGATGTGTGTGGCAATATAATCCAATACTAAATGTTTGGACTGAGATGAGCCCGATGTCCATTGGTAGAGCCTTTTGTAAGACAGGCATCTTAAACAACAAACTTTATGTTGTTGGAGGAGTTGCTAGAGACCGTGTTGGATTGACCTCGCTTCAATCTGCTGAAGTATTTGATCCTCAAACTGGTGTCTGGTCTGAAATTCCGAGTATGCCATTTTCGAAAGCTCAGGTGCTGCCTACTGCTTTTCTAGCTGATTTGCTCAAGCCTATTGCAACTGGAATGACATCATATCGTGGAAGGTTATTTGTAGCTCAGAGTTTATATTGTTGGCCTTTCTTTGTTGATGTTGGAGGAGAGGTTTATGATCCAGAGATAAATTCATGGGATCAAATGCCAACTGGCATGGGTGAGGGTTGGCCTGTAAAGCAGGCAGGAACAAAATTGAGTGTCACTGTTGAAGGCGAGTTGTATGCACTTGAACCATCTACTTCTCTTGATAGTGCTAGAATTAAGGTATATGATTACCAAAATGATACATGGAAAGTTCTGTTTGGAGATATTCCGATTTCTGACTGTAGTAACTCAGAATCTTCCTATTTACTAGCTAGTTTACTTGGACAGCTCCATATAATCACTAAAGATGCCAACAGTATCACAATTATGCAGACAGATACACGCAATCATTTAACTTCCTCTGTACCATCTTCATCATTTTCATGCAATGGCTCCTTTTGTGAACCAGCTGAGTCTTCGGCAGTATCAGAAACACATATTTGGAGGATCATTGCCACTAGGAATGGCCGGTCTACTGATCTGGTTAGTTGCCAGACCCTTGATCTTTAGTTTCCTACGTGGCTAGAACTTTCTTGTAATTTATTATGCCTATGAATGCTCTATTTATATTACTACATTCTTATTTCCACTATAAAGAGATTTTACTTGACAGAAAAGAAATAAATCATATATATATAATATTATCTTGGTATTGAAACCTTGGTTAAGAGATAGCACTTAACATTTTATACATTCCTATGTGGTTGTGTGTTGAAAAAATAAGGTAGTTTACTGAAAAGTAATAAGATAGATAGGGGATTTTTTTTTTTTTCTCCCTTTCATTTTTCCCTTTTGAGTGAATATACTTTATGCTTGCTACTTGAATGCTCTCTTCTTCGAGTACATTTGGTTTTTAATGGCTCATATTAGCAGCTAATGATGCTTGATTTGCTTATCTATTTGACTGGCAACATGTTTGATATTGAGGACTAGGATACAAGAAACATAGTTGAAAGTTACAATTGTAGAGTCATTTCTTATCAATAGAATGTTTCTATCCTATTCATCTGATGCTAGGGTTAAAGTTTGATGTCAAATCAGGCAATTCACATAAGAAAGTAGCCACAATCTCATTGAAAATAAAATGAGTGAAAAAAATTGTTAAAAAAAAAATTATTATAGCTCATAAACACAAGGTAAGGGTAACATTGTCATTTTAATTAGTGAAGAAAGGTTATCGAGTATATTTAAGAATTTTGGACTGGATTTTTAACCAATCCTAAACAGATGATGAACAGCAAGAACTATTATTATTATTATTTAAAGACTTGAGTTTCTAAAATCCAATTAAAATATGTGAAATTTTGTCATTTATCACAGCATTTCTGCAGCTGCCACAACCTCGATGGCTACTTTAGATTGTGATATGGCGATTCACCATTTCTATTATTTAGTTGAGAAATTTGTAGAACAAACAGTAAGGTTTTCTTTTTCCTAAGAGGAAAGGTTTTTAAGCCTCTTTGAAGCTTCCAGGATAGTTTCTGTGTCCAAAAGCACTAATTCTCAAAAACTCTTCACCACGGGGACCAAATCCAGAACCTGGTACAGTTATAATATTTGTCTTATCTAGAATCTCATCAAACAAATCCCATGATTTTGAACCAGGAAAATGCACCCAAACATATGGGGCATTTTCACCTCCATATGCCTTTGGACCAATAAAAGCAAGAGTGTCGAGTAATAATTTTGCATTCTCCATATAGTACTTAACCATGGAATGAACAGCCTGCAAGAAGTTTCCAAACTTTAGGTCAGTTACATAACTTTATTGTACTAGAAGGCATTCTTGTAGGAAACTAAGTGCTGTATCCAATCTTACCATAAAACCTTCTGAGGAAAGGCATGCCAGTCCCCCAGCCTGAGCTATATTTGATGCTCCATTGAAGCAAGTGCATACAACACGATTGAAGTCATTTATTACTGAAAAGTACAGTTCTTACGGAATATTTGTCCAACCCAGGCGAACACCGGTGAAGCCAGCAAATTTAGAGAAAGATGAGATTTCAATTGCAACCTGGAAGAGAAATAATAGGAAAAAAATGTGCTTTAATAACATAAATCTATTTCATAATAAGCTTCAAGCAGATTCATTATGTCTTATGTAGGCAGAATTGACATATTTAGTGTAGATAGATTTTGCACATAGCAATTAGTAAATAGAAACAACAATTCTGAAATTCAACGACTTAGAATAAACAGATGGATTAAGCATATAAATTGCTTTTTAATCAATACTCCAATAAACACAACCACAGTGTCGGCTCTTACCTCTTTAGCTCCCGGAATTTCGAAGATTGATCAAGATGAATCATTGCTACCATAAAGTGCATAAGCAGAGTCAAAAATTATAATCGAACCATTCTCCTTTGCGAACTTCACAAGATCCTCCAATTGCTGTCGCGTTGCTGCATGACCAGTGGGATTATTTGGAGAACAAAAGAAGATTAAATCTGTTCTTTTTGGATAATTCAGGAAAAAAGTTATTTTCCGGCTCACTTTTCATGTACTCAAATGTTCTTATACGTCCCACTTTTTTTTTCAAAATCACCAGCTTGACCAATTATGACACTTGTATCTATATAAGCCTGTCTCAGATCAATTTTACATTTAAAATATATATTTTATATTGCTTTTAAATCAATACTCCAATTTAAACACAACCACCACAGTGTCGGCTCTTTACCTCTTTAGCTCCCGGAATTTCGAAGATTGATCAAGACATGAATCATTTGCTACTATAACATGCATACAGTCAGAGTCAAAATTTGATTAATGCGAACCATTGCTTCCTTTGCGAATCTTCTACACATAATTCCTTCCTCAATGCCTGTCGCGTTTGTCTGTCATTGTGAGCCAGTGGGATTATTTGTTGTGTAGAACAAATAGAAGATTTTTAAATCTGTTCTTTTTGGATAATCAAGGAAAAAAAGTTATTTTCCGGCTCACTTTTCATGTACTCAAATTGATTCTTATCTTACGTCCCGACTTTTTTTGGTTCTAAATTCACCAGCTTGACCAATATATGACACTTGTTATTCTATATAAGCCTGTCTCAGTATTCAATTTTTACATTTAAATAATACTAATATTTTATATAATATAATATTATATATTATTTATTCTTATATATATAGTATATATATAGTATATATCTCTCAGCAATAGTTAACATGGCGCAATATATAAATGAAAATTTCGATAACTAAAACTTTACCATCATATCTGGTAAAATGCTAAACTAAAAAAGAAAATCATATTGAAAGGTCAATTGTGAATAGGAAAAAAAAAAAAATATCGCCGGGGAATATGATGAAGCATCCTGCCCACTGCATATTGTTCAACGCTTTGGAACTAAAAAAGCAGCTCTGTAAAGAAGATTATATTTAGTGTTTAATAAGTAAGCTGAGTTTTATATCAGCAAAGTTAACATGCCAATAAAAATGAAAATCGATAACTTAAAACTACCATCATCTGGAAATGCTAAAACAAAAAAAGAAATCATATTGAAAGGTAATAGAAAGGAAAAAAAAAAAATATCGCCGGAAATGATGGATCCTGCACTGCTATTGTCACGCTGGAACCAAAAAGCAGCTGTAAAGAAATTATAATTTAGTGTTTAAGTAAGCTGAGTTTAATAAAATCTACAGATTATTTCCAGTTGTAGGTTGGAGGTTGTAAAGCATATCAAATATAAAGGCCACTGTTCATACAGAAGAAGAAAAAGTTAAATGATTGGATACCTGAAGGCGAGCAATGTCACACTGTGAACCGTCTGATATAAAAATTTCTGCATCTTTTACCTGCACATCTTTGTAAAATGTTTCTGCAATTGCTTTTCTCAATGCCTGCCAATGACAAACATGTTTAACCTTTTGCAGACTTTGTTGCACACAGTACACGTAAAGAAATTGCAGGAAATAACAGATTGCTTATTGAAATATATAAGTTGCTACTTAAAGATCAACAGCATGGTAGACTTTAAAATTTTCCATTTATGCAAAAACTGTAGACAGCCATAAAATGTACTTGGATGCAGAAACAGAATGGTATTACCACCAACACTTGCAAAATTAAGAACCGAGCAAATACAATAGAATCAAGAAAAATACAGCACGCAAAAAACAGATAAATTTTCAAAAAGTAACAGTCATACTCCTACCTTATTCCCCTGCTCAGCTCCATATCCCCTATAACCTTCTACTGTAGAAAGGGCACGAGCATGCTGCAAAAGAAAATTTTTTCATTATCTGTCAGGATGAAAAAAAATTTCATTTTCTTCTATCCTGAAGCTATTATTCCACATCATTTAGAATCAACTCCTAACCTTCTTTTCTCGAGCAATTTAGAGATAAGAGCATGGAACAATAAGATAAGAGAGATACTGAACTTTAAATCATTAATAACATCAACAACTATATGCACATCGTATACTGTTTACCATTGGTCTTTGCTATTCAGCTCATTAACATGTCCAGAAAACTGATATTGATATGAGGATAGCTAAAGTAGGGCATGTTTCAAACAGTTTGCACTTGTTTGTTCAAGGTTAAGATTAGGAAATTTGCACCAGTGAATTTGAAAAAATTACAGGAGGCAGAAAATAAAAGCCAACTGTGAACAGTGCACACATATTCAATTCTGGTCTCAATTAATAATTGTTCTGTGAAGCTCTGGTTGCTAACTTCCAGAACTGCCTCCTGAGTTTGTCGAGGAATCCAGTTAAGCTTTTATTATTTAATATATATCACTCTCTTCACAGAAGAGTGGAAAAAGTTTTTACCAGTTCCTAGGGCCGTTAGTGGACCGGTTTGGTTCTGTTTGAGGTAAGAATCGAACCAAACCTAAAGTGGTGGTTTGAAAAAAATTAAAACTAAACCAAGCTAAACCATGAATATTTCAAATCAAACCAAACCTTTAATGGTGATTTGATTTTGTTTGGGCGGTTTAAAAGAAGAGAAATTAAACTTATTCATCTATTTAATAAGAAAAAAAATAAAAGATTAAGACTATACTAAATATAGAAAATGACTTTAAGTAGCTATTCAAAGTTTTCAAATTAATTTTTTTAAATGTTTATTGTAAGTTTGGTCTAAAAAAGATTATATATTCAATGAGACGTTGATTAAGCAACGACAACAACAACCAAAGCTTTAATCCCAAACTAGTGGGGGTCGACTATATAAATCTCTTTATTTCAAATATTCATTTTGATTAGGTTAAAGTCAATGCAAAGTAAAATATAAGTCAAGAAAAAAGTTTTAAAATACTTTTTGTAAAAATATTTTTGAAGAGAAATTTTAAAACAACAAGACATTGATTAAGCAATTTATAAATATAGAATTTAAATGTTAATTTATTTCTATATTTAGTACGAACAAAATTACAAAAAACTATAGTTTTGCTCATGTATAAATTGTCCACAATTTATACGAATCTATTTTCCATGAATCTTAACATTTGAATTTTTTATAAATAATTATATAATTTACTTAATTAATATGATATTAAGTTTTAATTATTATCCAATATAAACTAATCCCACAATTTACTATCCAATATAAATTAATCAATGAAAAGGAAATATATATATACAGTTTGATTTAGTTTGGGCGGTTTTGACTCCAAAACTGGAAACCATACTAAAAGCTCAGTTAAATT